GAAAACATCAGAAAAAGCTGCGTGTTTCTAAATATTGCAATTTGAGCTCATCTGAACAGAATGCAAACACTCAAGGATCAAACAAAGGTAAAAGAGTGTTTTACCTTCAACTTATGTTGGAAGTCGGAGGTTTATGGAACAACTCTATTTTGATGGAATGGCAATTTGTAGCCAAGTTGGATTTCCAGATCTTTTTATCACATTTACTTGCAATCCCAACTGGCCTGAAATCCAAAGGTTGCTTAGCAAAATTAACTTGAATTCTCAAGACCGTCCAGATATCATCTCAAGAGTCTTCAAAATTAAGTTCGATGAGTTGTTGTGTGATCTAACAAAAAAGCACGTGTTAGGGAGAGTGATTGCATGTAAGTCAATTTAATACCCTTTCAGTCGAGTTATATTTTTTGACATTAATCTTATTAAATATGTAATATGCATCGTTTTACTAAGTTTAAACTTACTTAATTTCAGATATATACACCATTGAATTCCAAAAGCGGGGTTTACCACACGCCCATATACTATTATTCTTGCATCCTTCAAGCAAGTATCCGACTCCAGATGATATAAACAAGATCATTTCAGCAGAGATACCAACGAAAGAAGATGATAGGCAACTCTACCATTTGGTCAAGACACATATGATTCATGGCCCATGTGGTTTAGCAAATGCGAATTCAACTTGCATGAAAAATGGAAAGTGCTCAAAATACTTTCCAAAGAAATATCAAACCGAAACCATTGTTGATCAGGATGGATATCCCGTGTACCGAAGAAGAGAAACTGGTAATACAGTGCTGAAAAAACACGTTCAACTTGATAACAGATATGTAGTTCCTTACATCCATATTTGTTGAAGAAATTCCAAGCACACATCAATATGGAGTGGTGTAATCAAAGTACTTCAGTTAAATACTTATTTAAGTATATTAACAAGGGGTATGATAGAATTACTGCTGTTGTTGTCCAAACTGACGGTGATGGATCTCCCTCGGTTAAAATGGTTGACGAAATCAAGCAATATCTTGATTGTAGATATATCTCACCAAGTTAGGCATGTTGGAGACTTTTTTCATTTCCTATTCATGGTAGATCACCCGCAGTTGAAAGGTTGTTCTTTCATCTTGAAGGAGACAACTCTGTTTATTATACCGATTATGAATTGATAGATGAGGTGCTTGACAAACCAACTGTGAAAGAATCTATGTTTACGGCATGGATGGAAGCAAACAAAGCATACCCAGAGGCAAAGAATTTGACGTACTCACAATTTCTTTCCAAATTTGTTTATGATAAAAGATACCGTCGATGGAGACCGCGTAAAAGAGGAAATACAATTGGCAGACTTATTTGGGTCCCTCCAAGTACGGGTGAGTTATATTTCTTGAGAATGATGCTAACAGTCGTCAAAGGTCCAACTTTCTATGAGGATATAAAATTTGTGGGTGGAAAAGTTCAGGATTCTTTTAGGGATGCATGCTTCGAAATGGGCTTTCTTAACGATGACAAGGAATATGTTGCAGCCATCGACGAAGCAAAGAATTGGGGTTCCGGTCATTTTTTACGAAAGTTATTTGTCACTATGTTACTATCCGGTACTGTCAATAGACCACGACATGTTTGGGAAAAAACTTGGAGGACGTTATCTGATGGTATCCTCTACCAACAAAGGCAAAAAACAAATAGAAGAGGTATGAACAATTTATTAAACTTTTTTAAGTCAACAAATATTATTTTCCGAATGTAAGCTGTATCTTTTTTTATTACAAAATATAATGATATGAACTTACTTTAAAATATAATTATTCTTCATCCATATGTCCCTTATTTAATATGTTTCATAAGGTATGTCCATTTACGTAAGAAACATTTTCATATTTGTCATTTGTCATGTATGTAAGTTATTTTCTTAACTTGCAGCTGCAACAGTGTCTTTGATTCCATTTAATTTCACGCAGCCGCAACATCAACTGTTTGATTTATGTTCAATGTATTTCAACATCACGACAACAGTTGCATCATACATATGTAATTATATAGAAAACTAATAAAATTTTTTTAACAAAATTGCAGCTATCGGACAATGAGTTAAAGAATCTCACACTAATTGATATTGAGAACATGATGCAATCGAATCGAAGAAGTTTGCATGAATTTAAATGTATGCCGTATCCAAATTCATACATCACAAAACATGTTGGCAATAGGCTTATTTATGACGAACTTAATTACGATGCCGATACCGAGAAACAGAAATTCCAAGAACTTTTTCATGCCCTTACAGGTGATTTATTTTCTTTATACTATGAATTACAAAAATGATTTTTATTGTCCTTGCACTAATAATACTTGGTTTGTATTTTATAGATGAACAACGTTTGATATTTGAGAAAATCATGGATGCTGTTAACAAACAGAGTGAAGGGGTATTTTTCTTGCATGGTTACGGAGGGACTGGTAAAACTTTCATGTGGAGAACACTATCAAGTGCACTTCGTTCTCAAAAAAAAATTGTTCTTATTGTTGCTTCAAGTGGGATAGCTTCGTTATTATTGCCGGGTGGAAGAACAGCACACTCAAAGTTCAAAATACCTGTGCCAACGCTTGACAACTCAACTTGCAACATCGACAAAGACACCGAACATTCTCAATTATTTGAAGCAACAGATGTGATAATATGGGATGAGGCACCTATGTCTCACAAGAACTGCTTCGAAGCATTGGATAAAACCCTTAAAGATGTAATGAGCAAAAAGGGTGTTGAGAATACTATTTTTGGTGGAAAAGTTGTTGTATTTGGAGGAGATTTTAGACAGATTCTTCCTGTTGTTCCAAGAGCTGGGCGTTCTGATATTGTTCATGTATCAATTAGTTCATCTTATGTATGGGATTATTGCCAGGTTTTAACACTATCAAAAAATATGAGACTTCAAGAGGGAAGAGACAACACAAGTTCTAATGAACTAGCGGAATTTTCAAAATGGATTTTAAATGTGGGTGATGGTAAGATTTGTGAACCCAATGATGGTTTGGTTGATATTGAAATTCCTCAAGAGCTATTAATATCAAATTTTGATGATCCTATAAGAGCAATTGTTGAAAACACATATCTCAATTTGTTGGAAAAATATCAAGATGTTGAATTCTTACAAAGAAAGGCTATTCTTGCTTCAACCATTGAAGTTGTGGACAAAATCAATCATTATGTATTAGACTTGATACCAGGTACATGTGTTTTATAAGAACATAGTTTTACTAATTTATTTATGTTTTGCTTTTAAACTTTTTTTTAGGAGAAGAGAAAGAGTATTTGAGTTTTGATTCCATTGATAGAACAAATTCAAGTTATACTGAAGTATATGAAGTTCTAACTCCTGAATTTCTCAGTAAATTAAGAACGTCAGGGCTTCCCAATCATAGGATCAAATTGAAGGTTGGTACACCTATTATGCTAATGAGAAATTTGGACCAAGCCGATGGGTTGTGCAACGGAACAAGATTAATTGTTACAAGATTTGCAAATCATGTCATTGAGGCAAAAATCATGTCTGGAAAGAACATAGGTAACATTTTTTACATTCCACGAATGTCTATGTCACCTTCTGATTCACCTTGGCCATTCAAGTTGATTAAGAGACAATTTCCGATTATTATCTCCTATGCAATGACAATTAATAAGTCACAAGGTCAATCTCTTGATAGTGTTGGATTGTATTTGCCTACTCCTGTGTTTAGTCATGGTCAATTATATGTTGCAATTTCAAGAGTTAAGAGCAAAAGTGGGCTAAAAATCCTAATTCATGACAAGGAGAATGTACCGTGTTCTACTACTACTAATGTTGTGTACAAGGAAGTCTTTCAAACACTTTGATAGTTGGTAAACTTTATATCTTATACTTTACGATTCAAATTAAAAATCTATTTTGAATTAAAATATATAGTATGTACATTTTCCATGTATTTCAAGAAGTATATAATTTTTCCTATTTGTTCATGCAGACGTGATTTGTTGATAGGACCGACGCTTGCTACAAATATGGAGTTAAATGCCAACATGGTTTACATGAAACATATACTCAACTGAAAACATGGTAACATACTTAATAATTTAATAATCTATAAATGTAATGTGAATCCAGACGAGACCCGTGCGATAACACGAGTTTGTTACTAGTTGAGATAAAAGAATGTATCTTTAGTGTATAAACTCATTTTATACATTAGGTCAAACATAATGAATTTATATGAATTACGCATTTATCATTATAACATTAGGGAAAATTATTGATATAATAATAATTCATTTTTGATCATGTGATTTCTTAAAGAAAAAGCGATAAACTCAAACCATAACAGCCCGTAGCGTGACAGAAATATTAGTCAATGAATCCAATGGCCAATAATAAAAGCAGTCCACTAAAAGGCAACAAAGCGTACGTATTTATTTTAGTTCAATCTCTCATTAATGACTTGTTGGAGAAGATTTTTAGAAATTCATTTTATTATAAAATTTTATAAACTTTAATGCAATGTTTGATAAAAGGAGACAACATATATTTCATACACAGACCAATAAGCCCCAGTGAACGGAAAAAAATAAAAAAATAAAAAAATAAAAAATTTTCACTTAAATTATTTTATCTATTTTTTACACTTCAGGGAAACTTGCTAACTAAGTTAAAATTTCATTAAATATTATTAAAAAGTCACATTCTAAAAAAGTTATCCAAAGCGGAAATTGCAATGCGTGAATTAATTAATTTAATAATTAATAGTATTAATAATAAAAATAGTAATAATTTGGAAAAGAGAAGCAGTAGAACTAGAACTAGAACTAGAAAAGGGAAAGAAAAGCGTGGAGAAAATTTGGGGAAGATTGGAGGGAATGAATTGAGAAGCGGTTAATTTAAGCGAAAAAAAAAATCTGAGAATCGCGTTTTAATAATCGATTCCACGGTGGTTAGGTTGATTTTGATGATCTTATTCCTGTAACTGCTACCATGCCGAAAATGAAGCATCTACTCAGAAAGCTTCACATCGGTGGTGGCGCTGCCACAATCAATAATCATAATCCAAACGCAGCATTGCAGCTTTCTCATTCTGATTCTCACACTACTACGGCGCCTCTTCCTTCTTCGTCTTCTTCTCTGTCTCCGTCTCCTTCTCCTTCACCGTCTCCCTCTCCGACAGTTGTGCAGAACCCTCCGAACGACGTCGTCATCGACCGAGGTGTTGCGGATTTCAATCTTTTGCAGGAGGAAGAGTTTCAGGTTCAATTGGCGCTTGCGATTAGCGCTTCGGATTCCGATCCTCATGATGTTGATGAATCTGCTCAGATCGATGCTGCTAAACAGATCAGCCTGGGATATTCTGCTGCGCTTACTGATACTCCCGCGCTTGTTCAGTTTCAATCGCTGCGTTATTGGGTACTTTGTCAATTATTATTGTTAATCTGTTGCGCAATTTGCGTTACGGGTAGTTAAATTATATGTCATATTTTTGTTTCTTGTTTAGGGTAATGTTTCTGAATTGGGAATTTTTGCTTTTTCATTCTCAGTGCTTAGTTACTTCCATTAATGGTGAAATTATAAATATACTTTGGAATTTATCTCATGGATGAATTTTGGAATTTAATTAATAGTGCAATATTATTTTTTTCTATGCAACCAACGGGGGGGGTTGGGTCTAGCACAACGCGATGAACTTAGGTTCGTATCCCGGCTGGGAGAGGCATCCACATTTAGTGCTGACATCTCAAATAGAATTGCCTCAGGCGGAAGGAGCATATGTGAAACACAAATATTTTTGTTTTTTCATAAGACCTAATTGTGGCAAGATGGTTAAATATAGTTAACCGGACATATATGTACAACTTTTTGCATTGTTAGTGCATAGTTATAAAATTCATGAATGATGTATGATGAAGTTTAACATTTCATACCTGTCTTTGCCGCATCATAATATCATGGAGTAATATTAATTCTTGAAACTTGATACCGGCAAAATAATAAAATATAATTAGACATATGTATAAAACTTTTCTGTGTTTGTTGGTGTATAGTTGTTGAAGTCATCATGAGTGATGTAAAATCAAGACTGTAGTTGAAAAAATGGATTTTGTTTATATATGTATGTTTTGGATGTGAAATTTAGTTTGCATTCATGCTGTTTAATGTTTTATGGACATTTGAACTTGATAAGTGATGATGATGATGTGTTTTCTTATTTAGCTAAAGTGAAAAACTGGTAGTTATAATTCTATTGGGAATGTGTTTTTTGAAGTAGACTGTGTTTTTCTCTCTGGCAGAATTACAATGTCATTGCTTATGACGAGAAAGTGATGGATGGGTTTTATGATGTCTATGGGATCGACTCAAGTTTAATTGAACGGGGAAAGATGCCATTGTTGGTGGATCTGAAAACCGTGCCCACCTCACGAAATGTTGATTATGAAGTAATCTCGGTGAACCGCATTGTCGATGTTGAGCTAAGTCAGCTTGAGAAAAAAGCCTGCACCTTGTTTGAAGAGTGTTCTGTTTCTGAACTAGGATTGTTTTTGAGTGGCTTAATTCAGAGACTTGCTGATGTTGTTGTTAGTAGAATGGGTGGACCGGTTAGTAATGCTGATCAAATTATGGAAAAGTGGACTATGAAGAGTCGTGAATTGCGAGATTCTTTAAGAACTGTAGTCCTTCCTCTTGGTTGTTTAGATGTTGGACTTTCACGTCACCGTGCCCTACTTTTTAAGGTAAGATTTTCTCAATTTATTAATTTAAGAAAATTTACACAGAATTCAGACACTCGAGAGTTGAGACATTTTCTTTCGTTCAATTTTTAGGCATTTGTCCTGTTGTATGTGGAATACATTTTATGGCCCATTTGATTTGTTCTGTTCAATCGTGGAGTGTGTATCTATATATTTTGTAGTTGGTAATGCTTATCATTTGTCCTACGGCAGAATTCACATTAAATTAAAATGCAATATACACAACTAAAATGAAATTCCTTTATCTCGCAGCAAAGAACATTTACTTATAGGTTTCCTTGAATTTCAATTTTCAAACGTGGTCATGCTCACCCAATTTGTTTGATTTCAACTGAAGTTAGTTTCATTCTTCTGATGGTTAGGTACTTGCTGATAGGATTAATATTCCCTGCATGCTTGTAAAAGGGAGCTATTACACAGGAACTGATGATGGGGCTGTGAACTTGATTAAAGCTGATGATGGAAGGTATTTATCTTATGGTAGAATGTCGATTTTCCCATTCAAATATTGCTTTTAAGGGAGTTTAATGCAATAGTCCTTTTTAATTAGTCTCTTGCTTAGTTGATGAATGATGACAATTGTCACCTATTCTCTTTAGTCGGAAACTTCTTGGTGTACTTTGTGGCCGTGATAGTCCAGATTCCAGAAGCAGAGATTCCAAAGCAATTTTATTTCACATTTTCCATTTTGTATTTCTGATGCTTCGCAAAACTCTTCATGTCATTTGAGATGTAGAATTGGTCTACCTTTATGAAGTTGACAAGTATATAAAATTGTTAAATTCTTAAATTAAGTATAGGATCTTCTGGTAAATGTAATTTAGAACATAAGGGAACAATCGTTTAATTTATTGCAGACTAATGGCGAGTTCATTAATTGCAACTTATACTTACTTTGACCCTCTTGTGACTTTTAGTTACTCTGTTTGAACGGTCTTTCGTAGAATTCAGAACCCCAACAATTTATCTTTTATCTTTTAAATTGCGCTCCTGTCATATTTGTTAAACAACCTTCTCATTATACAAACTGTGCCAATCTCGTGGTAATGTTTGAACAATTTTAAACTCTGTTTTTAAATTGTGCTGATGCAGTGAATACATTATTGATATGATGGGTGCTCCTGGTACTCTCATACCTGCTGAGGTGCCCAGCAGTCAAATCCAAAACTATGGCTTTGCTGGTAGGGGTTTTACAGAGATTGCAGAGCAGCCTAACAACATATACCAAATGCTTGGTAACGAAACTGGTGTGCTGGGAGTATTGTCTGATTGTAATGTAGGGAGGGTCCAGACAAAAGGATTAGTAGAAATCGGCAGTCAAACAAAGCCAGATGAAATGAATCATGTTAAGGTAAATGAAGCAGGGAGATTTGAGCATACAGAAGCATATGAATGCTCATCACACTCAGAGTCATCACATGCTGAAAACATGCATGTAAAAAATGTCTCCAAGTACGTTCTCAGTGCCGCAAAGAACCCAGAGTTTGCCTCAAAACTGCACACCATTCTTTTAGAAAGCGGTGCATCACCTCCTTCTGATCTTTTTTCAAATATGAATTCCAGAGATAGGGGTTTAGATACTGTTCAAGCTGATCCAAATCGGCTGTTATTATTAAGTTATGATACGTCTCTCACACTCCCTCAAGGAGTGGGCTCTGCTGGTAATACTAGGTTATGTCAATCGGCTGGCCAGTTAGCCAAAAAGCCAAAGGAATTCCGGACAGATGCCAATGAATTTTATGATTCTTCTCAGATTAGTAGTACAAGGAATCCTTTTGCAACTGTTTCTGGTAAAGATGGTGATATACAACAATCTAATCCATTAATTGTTGACTTTGCTTCTCTTAATACATGCAACACATGTAAAGATAAGTGTCCCGAGTCTTCCTTGCCCAAGGCAGTATTTTCTTGCAAAAGGCACAATGGCGTTGAATGTTTTTGTGACAATGATGAAAGTGGTCCTAGTAATGAAGCTGGAGCTTCTCTGAATAACATTGAACTTGGGACTGATTCAGTCATTCAAACAAACGAGACAGTTGATGGAGATTGTATCCTACATGATGATGGTAAAAGCAAGAAAGTTCACCCAATACTTGGTGAAGACACACAATGGGAAATTCAATGGGAGGATCTTCGTATCGGCGAGCGTATTGGTATTGGTGAGTTTATTCCCAGGCTTTAAATATGATTTTTTCGATTTTAAGTTATATAAAAGCTCAGGGTCTTGAATAATATCTTCCAATAAGATAATTGGAAACTTATTAATTTTGTATAGATCATTGTTACTCAAAGCAATTTGGAATTATTTAAATGTTGCTATTTGATATAGTGGATTGAATAAATAGAGATTAAATAAAAGGTGGTTGAAAGTATGCTGCCTGCTATTTCTCTGCTTGTGATGTAACCCTGCAAATCTAACTTAGCAGAACTGTCCTTGTAGGTTCTTATGGTGAAGTTTACCGTGCTGATTGCAATGGCACTGTAAGTCTGCTCATTCTTTTTTATGTTGTCTTAACTCTTAATTACTTAAAACAGTTTGCCTTAAAAAGTTGTTAGAATTGCATAGTGTGAAAAATTCTAGATAACTCCTAGATGACTTCATTGTTCTGCTTTATTTATGCAAGGATTTTATATACAGATTAATATTTGTAGTTACTTTCCCCCCCAATTTGTCAGATTCTGTTTCACATCATATTATGATGTTAGTCATATGTCAACTCATAGGTTTTTGCAGTTACTCATAATTGATTCTGTTTGACCTAGTCTGCATGATAAGCGATTAAAAAGTGTTTAGTTTAAGTGCAGATTGATTGTTTCATCAACTGGCAAATAATCGATTCCTTTTCTGTTAGCCATATGACTTGAGATAACTTGGTTAAGGCTTAGTGCAGGTCTATGTACTTGTGCTTTCATTCTGTTAGGCTATCTTCAGATGTTTTTATAAATATCTTTATTGATGATATGCATACTTTTTTTCCTTCTACTAATGCTCATGTAGGCTGTAGCCATTTTATCTCTTCTGGGTTCTGTCTGCCATTTTAGTTTGGTATTGGAACTTTTATTGCTCGTCTCCATGAGATGGTCTCGTGGTATAAGACTTGCTTCATTTGTGAAAGTACTTAATACTTTTGTTTGTATGACTGAGTTGGCAATGTCATTACAGGAAGTTGCTGTAAAGAAGTTTCTAGACCAAGATGTCTCTGGTGATGCACTAGATCAGTTCAAATCGGAAGTGAGCAACTATTACTATATACATATGTTTAACACATTCGTATGCACATCTAAGATTCATGCTCATATATTGCTTCTACAGATTGAGATTATGCTAAGGCTGCGCCATCCTAATGTTGTGCTCTTCATGGGAGCAATTACTCGTCCGCCACATTTCTCTATCTTGACCGAGTTTCTTCCTAGGTTAGTTTAACTTTGTTTTTTATGCATTGAGTTACATACAAACTTTCCTTTTTTTGTAATTTTCTTAAATAAGCTTATTGTTTATGCTGATGTGAAGTTCTTTTTTATTGTTTCTATACCATATATCTTGTTTTGTTTATGTTGTTTTCCAACATTTCGCCGACATGCAACTTTGGCCTTCACCAAATCAATGGTTAATTAATTTCTCTATATTATAGTTTTGCTCATTAAAATATATTTGTTACTTTGATACAGAGGCAGTTTATATGGGCTATTGCATCGTCCCAAACTTGTACTTGATGAGAAGAGACGGTTGCGTATGGCTCTTGACGTGGTATGAATTGGAAATTATGTTTTTTCATTTCATTTGGTGGTAGTAAGAGATTTTATTAGAAAGAAGAGAAGAAAAATGCATATTGACTGGGGACAAGGCATCTTCCAGATTAGAAAAATTTACATACAAGAAATAAATATACTCAGTCAAGAATTTAGCAAGGCTGTTCTGTACTTGTCAGTCCTTTGAAAATTGTAATGACAATAAAATGAATACCAAATAGAGGCCATAAATTTAATTGTATCCTAAAGTAGGTTTTGGAGTTCAGGTACTTCCTAAAAATGTGAGCATTTCTCCCCAACCAAATAACTATGGACAACATATTATCACAAAATCATAGCCTTCTTAGCCTCCTTATTCGTGTAAAATTCAAATTAGAGGGCCGCTCTTTCCTCACTAAGAACTCGAAACACTTTCCTCATTTTTAATTCTATAAATAATTTCTCACTTTCCTGTATTTGATCTGAATCTCCTGCCCTCTTGTTAGGCGAAGGGAATGAATTACTTGCACACCAGCCATCCTCCTGTTGTCCATCGAGATTTGAAGTCTCCAAACCTTCTTGTTGACCGGCATTGGGTTGTAAAGGTAATATTCATACTTGATTTCTTTGTCTGTGAGTTACTTCTCTAAAGCTGAAAATAAAAGTCATATCAAACCAATTGAGTACTAGAAAAGAGGAATAAAATTAGAAGAGTGAAAATCTACATTTATTTCTGCCTCTGAAGGAGTTAAAATAAAGAAAAGAAAGGTGGATTTGCTTACTCTTGTTGTTCACAATTTTTTCTGCTGACAAATAAGAAAATTGAAGAAAATATCATTTCTTATAGGAAAAGTCACAATTTCACACTTATTAAGGAAAATTCTTGCTTACATTTAATTCATAGTAATTTCAATTAAAAGCTGTTTTTTTTATTCTCTATTGTCATTATTTGTAGTATACAAAATTGGCATTTAACATGAAAGTTTGTCTTTACACGTTCCAAAGCAATACTATACTCCCTCAAGCTAACAGCGCTGCTTTAGGTGCCACTTCATTACCAATTGGTTCTCCACATTGCATATTCAAAATAACTTTAGTGATTGTGCTTTTATCTAGCTGTTGTATAATTATTTATATACAAACTTCTATGAGTAAAAAATTAAAATTGAATAAAGGATATTTTTGGCATGAGAACAATAAATAGGAAGTTCAGTCAACTTTTGCTGGGGAAAGATATGATTGACTAAGTGTATGTGAGTGGGTTGGGTCGCTGGGGTGGGGTGTGTCGAACACTTTCAAATCAAAATTTACACGAGCACCATGCATTGTTATGCACTTTATTTTAATATTCACCTTGGTAAGAATTTCTTCATATCTAATAGAATTGCTGTTATTTATCTTATGTTTATTGAATTTACACGGAATTGATTGTTTTCTTTTTACTTGTACATTTAATGTATGTTGGCACATGTACAGGCTTTCATGCACAACCAACTTATGAAAAATATTTTGTTCTATAGCAGTAACAACTATACTAATTAATTGTTAAATGATTTTATCACATTGAATAATTTATAGTTACCGATGTTGATTTAATCATGTGAAATTCTTGAATTTATGCTCACATACCAAGATATATATTGTATAACCATGTAACTAAGGTGATCTTTATGCATTTTGAATTAACTTTTCTCCTACTACTCTTGGCGATATTTACTTTATAAAATGTTCTCAATTAGTGCATAATATGGCATTGGATTGGTGTACAAAACTGGAGAATATTATTTTAGGCAAATGCTAACATTTGCCCTTAGGGTACTTGTCAGTGTACTAAAGATAGACATTTTATATTGGAAGGTGTGCATTTAATTTCTTGTAAAGTTAAAAATTGTTTTCTTCAGACATGGTTTCTATTTATTGTGACATTTCTAAAAACCTTTTATTTATCGCTTTTTGTATGCTATTATAAAGTAGTCAAATTGTTACTAATGTTTTTGTTATTTTCATCTCTTGTTTGTTGTATACAGGTCTGTGATTTTGGTCTGTCACGTATGAAGCACCATACATATTTGTCATCGAAGTCGTGTGCTGGAACGGTAATTCATCATTAGATAAAAGAATTTTGAAAAATCTGTGATGACTCATTAATTCATTAATCATTGATATAAACTACAATTATACCTAGTGTCTTTGTAAGCTTATGAAAAACAACCTAAACTATCTCTTTCTCACAGCCTGAGTGGATGGCGCCAGAAGTTTTACGGAATGAGAATGCCAATGAGAAGTAAGTCTACTCTTCATGGAGAATATAAGTCTACTCTTCATATGCTTCATGGAAGGCCAGATATAAGAGATTAGGATGTAATATTTAAAGTTTGTATGCAGGTGTGATGTGTATAGTTTTGGTGTGATTTTGTGGGAGTTAACTACAACGCAAATCCCATGGCACGGTTTGAACCCAATGCAGGTTGTTGGAGCTGTTGGATTCCAAAATAAACGTCTTGAAATTCCAGAAGATATGGATCCAGTGGTAGCTCAAATAATACGTGACTGTTGGCAAAGGTAAGTATTAAGTTTCCATTCATGTTTTCTGATTGTTATTTTAGCATCGAAAAGTGGGCCTAGAGATTTTCAGTTCTTGAAAAGCTGGTACTTGAAAGAAGCCAGATTCTAGATAATACTCCTTTGATTTTGGAAAAATTGAAGGCAGATTTCCACTAGTTTAGTTATCAGTTTTTCTCTGTTCCTGTTTTTTGATAATGATTTTTGTAATAATATAACGTTATGTTAAATGTGCTTCATGATAAACCACAGGGTTGTACTTGTAGCTATGTGTTATAGTCTAAATAAAGTTTTGATCCTTGTCGACTTTGTTCATAATATTTTATCTTGAAGGGAACAAAAGATGAATAAGTTGAGATCGCAGGGACTATTTCTTCATGTAAAATAGGGGTCAATAACTTAATGAGTAGAAACCATAAGAACTAAAACCCAATTGAGTGAAAAATGCAAGAGTCAATGTTTAGTAGGGAATGGAATCCAAAAGAGTGAATATTTGGATTGATGACATTGTATAAAATAAACGGCTATGAAGATAAGAATACAAATTTGTTATAATTGCAGGGACTAATTTTTCTTTTAATAGATTATGCTATTGGATTGATCTTAGTTGTGTTGATTTTGATGCAGGGAGCCACACTTGCGGCCATCCTTCTCACAGCTGATGTCTCGTCTTTACCGTCTTCGTCAATTGGTTGCCCGTAAGACGAGCTCTACTCAATAATTATTGTCCATAATATAGTTCTTGTAATAATACCATTGTTGCTTGGTTCGAAGAACCAGAGCAGCTGAAGGTATCTTTTCATCATGACATTAAAGTGTCTGTTCATTCAAAGTTGGGACTGGATACATTCGGTTCATAAATGAACACGGTCCCTCCCCAATCTCTGCATAAATGCAGTGAAGGTTTATTTAGAGTAGGAACAATTGTAGAATCCCCAAGGAGAAGAAAACAAGCGGAAAAAAAGAAAGGAAAAAAAGTACAAAATTATTCTTTGCCTGCAGAGGTCTTATTTGGAATTGTAAACATTTGATGTTTTATGTTATCTGGGAAAGTGTAAAAAGAAAAAGAGCAGAAACAGAAATGAAAAAAAAAAGAAAGTATAAAATATTTATGTGTCTCCCATTACTTGAGTTTTCTTGATCGAATATGTGTATACTTGTTAATTACTATGATCGTTCTCTACTGGAAGCTAACAGTTGGCACCGAAATGCAATACCAAATCTGCAGAATAACTTGTTTTTTTGCTATTCATGGTTTACACGTGTATTTGTCGAGATCACTTTTTTTTATATAAAAATTAGAAAAATTAAAATCATTATTAATTAAAATGATATTAATGATCTATTTATAATTATTTTATATATCCATTTGTTCTTGATGGCATTGTAAACTCTTAGGGTGCGTGATATTTTTAGGATTATTATTTTTAAGAATATTGTTCCAATCTATGTGTTAAGTAGGAATTTAGATTCTTAGAAATAATTATAAGTTTTGTTTAATTTTAAAATTATAAAAAATAAAAAATAATAGTAAATATGAGTGATACTGAGAAGTTAGAGTTGGTTGGATTTATTTTCATGAGAATGTTATATTTCTATCCTTATTTATTTTAGAATAAGAATAGAAAAATTATGTAAATATTATTTTTTGGAATACATTTTTTTTGAAATAATTTTTTAAAACTTGAATCATGAGAATATTGTATTCCTGTAATTCTATTCTCAGAATTTTTTTTTTTTTACCTTGAAATAAACACAACTTATGAGTAACTTTATATTCATAAATAGTATAAGTAGGAACTACTAGTATAAGTGTCTAGTATAAATAAATTTAGAATTTTAAAATATACTCTTAAATGTCAAATATATACAAACTAAATCAACCGACAAATGGACAAATGTTTGAAGAATTTACCATGTCACCTTTCAAATTTTTTTATTTCATTTTTATTTTTGAATGAGATGAACACAATTTTCATATGAAATTTCTGATAGAAAAATTAAAATTTTTGATGCTATCCAAATTTTTGATACACTCCTGTGAAATTTCTAGTACCATAAATTTTTGGTAGTGTATATGCAATTTTCGATATACAAGAAATTTCAATTAATTTGAAATTTCTGGTAGTATTAAAAATATGATTTTTTGAACGACTGAGATTTTACCGATACATTTGGATGGTTCTGATTGCATCAATACATTTGTGGTCTAGAATGCATCACTATTTATATAAATAGAGACATTTGTTATAAAGAAAATACATCTAAAAAAAATGTCTCTTCAATTTCTGATTAAGACAGAAGTCTATTACAACGACTTCAATCCTTCTGTTGAATTCAACTTCCAGATGGCTCCGAATCCTTTGCCACCTTGAAAGAATATTGAATAATTTGCTACCTGATTTTGATAACAGAAGAGTGACAAAGATAGAGTTTTGGGAGGATTGGATTGATACAAATGAAAGGGTGAAATATAACCTAATCGAGTTGAAGAATGATGAACATGTGAAGGTCATGTGGAAATTATTTCGCCGTAGGATAACTAAATGTTCGATCGAGTTGGATGCACATATCTGAAGTTTCGTCGACGACATAATGAAGTGTCTGAAACGTTCAGAATCTTTTAGAAGTGCCTAACTACGCTTTTTTGTTTTGTTGTTTTTGGTTTATGTTTGTTGTTTTTGATTTATGTTTGTTGTACTGTTTTATGTTTGTTGTATTGTTCTAGGATTTCACAAAAAAAAAAAAGGTAATAAATAAGATGTTTGTTTGTCACAAAATATATATATATATATATATATATATATATATATATATATATATATATATATATATATATATATATATATATATATATATATATATATATATATATATATATATATATATATATATATATATATATATATATATATATATATATATATATATATATATATATATATATATATATATATATATATATATATATATATATATATATATTATACAACTAAAATAAAATAGATCTACATAGGCCGTCCACGAGCTATATCGAATAACCTAGCTAAACTTCTATAAATCTCACCATCTGGATTTACCAAACCCATGAGACTGTCAGCATGAACGACAATAAACTGGAGTCGATTGTCCTGATCTCCTGCAGGTGGTGGAGGTGGTAGTGGTGGCTCGGTCGATGGGCTAGCACCAGAAGATGGAAAAATGATGTCTCCGGGTGCCACCTCTCCCCAAATGGAAGATGGAAGGATGATGTCTTCGGGTGTCACCTCTCAACAAAAGCTGATAAAAGGGAGGCGTCCAGCATGGTCAAGAAACAACCAGCAAACTCCAGGAGATCGAACTCGCTAACGATCCTCCTCACCTCCTCAGGCATGGGACTCTCAGAGAAGTTCTTCAATTTAGACCCATGAGAAGCGACCTTCAACACTGAACGCTCCTGTAAGAAGCAAAAACAAATTATTATACATCAAATGATGTAAGCAAAAATAAAAATTATGCAATTAAACGAAACAAAAAATACATACCTCGCCTTACTATATCCTATACGCGACATGGTCCGCAAATCCTGTCAATATAGACCTGTCTGAAGGTCCTCTAGGGAATCCTCCATCAATGTGTATTGATGGATCTGTAGACGCATGAGTCACGATGTCTGTATCAATAGAGGACATCTTATCAACTCGCTCAACAACAACCTCCTGCTCAGGCTTCTGCACCACAGGCTCCACAATAGGAGCAAGGGCCTGTACCTCCTCAGCAGGAGCTTGTACCTCATAAGCAGGAGAAGGAGCCTGCACCTCTGTAGTAGGAGTCTGTACCTCCTCAATGGATACTCTATGACCCCGACGGCGGGGTGCGCGAAACTGCACATTCTGTTCAACCATCCTTTTTCGATGAGAACTGGTTAGATGATGACGTCCAACCCGTAGCTCTGAAGCCTGTGCCTTATCAGCACGGACTTTAACACCAACTCTATCAGTGGTCCGTCCCGCAATAGAACCATCTCTGCCTCTGGTCCTCACTACAAAATAAGAAAATATCAAAAAATAAAAATTACCAAAAAATTCTAAATTTCCGGTAATTTTTCAAAAAAAAATTGAACTACCGGAAATTTCAAAATTTCCGGTACTGTGTGACGCATCGGTGTAGCGGTTGAAATGTTTTAAGACTAAGCCATTGGATTGACTTGACTTATACAAATCAAAATAAAAATCGCCACCACACTTTATTGTTTCCAAAGGAATGGGAAAAGAGCGAATAACCCAAAAAGAAGGGGAAAGATTCAAGGTAAGGGGGTTAGTTATACAAAGGGAAGGTATTAGCACCCTAAACATCTACGGTACTCCGTAGGAATCTCTTTATAAAATCTGTATATTTGGCTATAAAAAATGTTGTATAAAAATGGATGGTAGTGGTGAGAAAAGAAATATATTTATTTTATAATTTTTGCACCCGCCGCGGTTGTGAACCTTTAGTGCCTACGTACCACCTTTTCGTGCAATAGGGGATCAGGGTACACATAGTTTCTCTTTTAAAAAATTTAAAACACAAATGTGTTGGTTAATTGTATGAGATAAAACATTATCGTCACTGTCCGTGTGGAAAACATGGTCTCAAAGTGGAGAATTTGCATCATCTCAAAGTGGAGGATATGGTCTGGATCTTAAAATCAACAATGCCTCACACAATACCCAAGTGGAAAATATCTCTCTTTACTACATATTGTAGAAGTATGGTTTTTTGCATCACTACAAGGATTGACAAGAGTTCAATCTTTTGAGAAAAGTTTAAAGATAAAAGCCAAAGTGACAAAAATGGTTTGAAATGAGATTGGTTGATTTTTAGTCTTCTCACAAAAAAATATCAAGGTATTATTAAGTTGATTGAAGTTTATTTATGAAAATATTTTGAAAATGCATGAACATAAGTCCAAGTTTATTATGAAAGTGGTTCAAGTTTAAAAACAAGAAGAGTTTTCAAAAGGAGGAAGAAGATTTTTGAAATTAAAGAAGATGAGAGGAGAAAAAGGGACTATCCTAAAGCATAAGGTAAAAGCTAGGGATAAGAACCATCTAACCAATAAGAAGCCAATACTTGACATTATGAGCCAAGATAGAATTCCCATTCCTTGGATTGAAAACCAATTAAGCAAAAAAATACTAGACCTCTTGAGAGAACCAAACTTCAAGTATATTAAGTCTTCACAAAAATTGAGCAGAGTAACGGCTGTATACGAGTGAATTCTAGATTACAAACAAAGGGTGTAATCACAAAAAAAAACATGCACACAAAAACAAACAAGCAACCCAATGTCTTGAGGTAGGCTAAAGTTTCTAATCCTAAGTCCAAGAAAAAAAAGTCCCATGCTCCATAATGCCAAGGATAGTAACAAATAGTCCAAGTACCATTAAAGATTTTTATGGTTTATGTTGATTATTAAGTATCTTAAAAAAAGAAAAGAAAAGATCAAGTGAGCAAAGTAAAAATGACAAGAAAGTAAATGCCCAAATGAGGAAAGATGAAAATGACATGAAATATAAATGCTAAAAGTAAATGGTACATAAAGCACAAAAAAAAATAAAAGCATAAAGTAAAACAAGTAAATAATTAGTGGTTAGTTGGATGACCATCTTGAAACTTGCATTTGGAACTCATTAGAGGATTGGTAGAACCAAAGCCTCCACAAAACAAGTTGCATTTACTTTTTGTCAAGTATATCAT